AAGCATATAAATTAAAGCCATCCCCAGTGGATTATTGTTTCTTTTGGAATTTGATAAAATGATCTTAAAGTTTATGTAAATGTTTAAGAAGAGCCAAAAATAGTTATGGAAAAGATCAGAGATAGAGGATTTGCCTTACCAGATATTAAAACCTGTTCTTTAAAAAAAAACACTTGCTATAAATGTGCTGAAGACAAACAGTGAATTAATGTGAGTCAGGTAATGGGCTAGAGAGTCCAGAAACAGATCTCAGGTTTTCCAGGACTATGATACAATAAATGTGGTATATTTATTCACGGAGGGAAATTACATAACTAGGTATCTATTTAGAATACCACCTCATCATAAATGCAGATACATAAACAAAATTTAAATATAAAGACAAAACATATTTTAAATATTTACAAGAAACTTTCTTCCTGAATAATTCAAAGACAGATGAGAGGCATCTTTAATAAGAAATTCAGAAGCTGTGAGCAAACAATACAAATTTTTATCTATTTTTTCTCTTTTTTGGTATCAGTGATTGAACCCTGGCAATGTTGTTCTTTCCCTAACCCATAGAGTGGGATCCCTGGAGGGAAGACCCACCCTAAGAGAATAATCCCTGTGGTAAGAGCCCCTGGTACTCAGCCGTCTTGGGTTCTCAGCCACAAGAGGGAGCCCAAGAGCAAGGGCAGCAAGAGACTGGTAAATGAGTTCCGAGGTTCAAGCCCTGACTTCTTTTCCCTTGCACTGGGTGTAGGCCCTGTGCCTGGCCATTTCCCAGAAGTGGCCACGGGCGTCCTTATTTGTCACATCATTGGCGGTGATGGTGGGTTGTTGACTTCAGGGGAAAAATTATTGGTTAGAGGACAGGTCAGAATGGGTCCAAATTCAGCCAACAGGCCCAATAAAGTCGGCGGGGGGGTAATAAAAAATTGATAGTTTTTTATGCGGGTTTATGAGAGTGAGGGGGAGTGGGGAATAGGAAAGTGGAGGGGATAGTTGTGAATTGTGTGTCCCTGAAGGATGAGATCAGAGAAGAGAACTTTAAATATCAAAGATCATGGCCGGACAAGGACATGTCTGGTATGAGGAATATACACTGGAAACCTTTAGGAGGAGAATACCAAACCCTGTGTGGTGGGCAGGGAGTGTTTGTTAAGGAGGGCGAGGATCTCATAACTAGTTAGAATGGAGGGTGCAGGGGAGAACTGCAGGGTGCAGCAGCTTATACACCAAGGAACCCTATTTCCCAGCTGCATATTGAGCAAGCCTGATCCTATCGACTCTCACTGTTGACTTCTAAGAGGATTTCAGGGAGTGGGGATAATTCAGTGCGACCCATCCCCTTTGCTGGAGAGTCAACTGAGTCCTTAATCAGCAAGGGGCCATGCCCCTTATTGCTGCTATGTACATGTCGAAGACTGGGAAGTTCTGAAACTAGTCTACTAGGATTCCTGCAAGGGAGTTCTGTCCTCCAAGGCCCCTCCTGTCAACAATGGCAAGGACAACGTGGGACCTCCTCTCTGGAAATGGGCTTCAGGGCTGTTGCAATCTTTTGAAAGTAGATAAAGATGTCTGGGATCAAGTTTGGTGGATCAGGTGAGTGTTTACTCCAAGTGTCAAGGAAGGATGGATTTGAACCCCAGAACAGAAGAGTTGGGAGATTCTCCAGAGCAGTTGCTCTTAAGTTGTGGTCTCCAGAGCAGCAGCATGAACATCATCTGGGAACTTGTTAGAAATGCGAATTCTTGGGCCCCGATACAGATCTACTGCATCAGAACTTTGTGTGGAGCCCAGAACCTGTCTATGAGCAAGCCCTGCAGGGGAGTCTAATGTATGTTCAAGTATGAGAACCACTGCCTTCGTGAATCTCTAGAATAGCTCCAAGCAGGTGGATGTCAGATATCCAGATACTTCCTCAATGCTTGCAGTGACTGGTGTGTGGGTTTGAGAGTGTGAATGTGTGTTAGTATTCGAGTGTGTGAACGAACTATTGAGAGTGTGAATATGGATGTGTGTGAGTGTGCTTTTGTGAGATCAGGGCTGGGAACGTGGATGCTTCATGATCTAGGAGGGTCAGTTTTACAATCTTCAAATCAGGGACTAAGCCTTTTCTAGTTAACAAACTCTGGGAAATCAAATGAAAATAGTAGAAACTCCCTCCAGAAAAACACATCGGCACATGCCAATGTACCTTCAATTGTTTACATACAATTTTAGGTGTCTTATTTCCTGGGCTAAGAGCCTCTGATCTAGTCGGATTCTTCCCCAACCTGTTTTTCCATTTGTAAAGTATGGAAAACAAGAGTAATTGATTGTGTGTCGATATAGGCAGTAGGTGGCGCTGTAGAGACAGAATAGTGGAATTTTGCCCAAGTCAGGCTGTAAAAGAAAGAGGGGCCGGCAGCGGGAGCAGTGCATAGGATGCTTTCCCTTTCTCCAGGACTTAGGAGACTGTAAACTACCGATTCTTGTCCTCCCTCTATTAGCTGAAGGCTTTCCAGGTGCATGCACCACCTAGTTAGTTTGCTCTGTCAGAGTTACAGATGCATCCAGTAATCACAAAGCCATACGTCTGGGGATCTAGCTCTGGTTTCCTAGCAGGGGGCAATTGAGAAATGGACGTCTGCTAGGTGCTGAGTCTCTGTACTTTTCTGGGTTCCCTATAGACCAAGATTGTGGCAGGAGAGTGTGGTGGGATGGGGTGGGGGACAGGGGATCGCACAACTGTTTGATCAGGCTTATTAGCATTGCTAATAGGAAGAGCTATTGCTGACTGTTCTCAGGGAGGATAATTTTTCTGATTTACTCCTCACTGTCATTATTTAATAGATGAGGGAACAGGAATTTACAGTCCTGGATAGATAGTTCTCAAACCTGGAGGGTTTGTGAGAGCAAACTTGGGACTCCACCCCAAAGACTCTGACCCTGTCAGTCTGAGGTAGAGCTCAAGAATCTGTATTTCCAAGTTGGTGCTAAAGCTGTGGCTCCAGGATTCATAAGGAATTGGTAGAAAAGAGTGGAATTAAGCTGGGATCAAACATGAGAAGTCTTAATTAGCACATTTCAGAAAAGCTAGAGAAGAAGAGTTTGAAGGTTCTCAATAAATTGAACAGTAATGTTTGAGGAGATGGAAGTGCTAATTATGCTGATCTGATTATTGTACATTGTGTGTGTGTGTATATATCTATATATCTATATATCTATATATATCTATATCTATATATATATATATATATCTTGAATTATAATAGTGTACCTCAAAAATAAGTACAAGAATTATATGCCAATTATTAAAAAAAAAAAAAAGCAAAGCAAAAGTCAGTATGGTAGTTCACGTTTGTAATCCCAGTGGCTGGGGAGGGTGAGGCAGGAGGATTGTAAGTTCAAAGCCAGACTCAGCAATTTAGCAAAATCCTGTCTTCAAAATTTAAAAAGGGCTGGGGATGTGGCTCAGTGGTTAAATGCCCCTGGGTTTAATCTCAGTATCAAAATAAAAATAAAAGTAAAAAATGCAAATCAAGGGTGTACACCTGTAATCCCAGCTTCTAGGAAGACTGAGGCAAGAGAATTGCAAATTTGGGACCAGCCTGGGCAACTTAGTGAGACCTTGTCTCAAAATAAAATTTTTAAAAAGAATTGGAGATGTGGCTCAGTGGTAGAGCACCCTTGAGTTCAATCCCCAGTACTTTAGAGAAAGAAAGGGCGGGGGGGAGGAAGGAAGGAAAACAAATCAATGTTATTTTTTTCAACAACAACATCAACAAAAAACCAGAATTATCTTTGTTTTTTAAAATTATTATTGTTATTACAGAAGTTTGGTTATAAAAACCAAATTGTGCTATTGTGCACAATTTAAATAATAAAAATATTTAAAATGATAAAAACCAAAACTTACAAAGTCTGACTCTTCCAAGCCCTGACCCCAGTGTACATACATTTAACTACCTCGTCATACTTCCTCCCAGGGCATCCCTTCTACAATAGATCAAACAGCAACACACATCTCTAGAATCCTTATTCGAGTGGTTCTGATTTAATTAATATAAGTGGCTCTGGTTTTAACAAGTCTTTATCTAGTCATGCTAACACTCATTCATTTGTTCATCTCATTAATTTACTCGCCTTTCCTTTAAACAAACATATGCTTAACACTACTATGTCCTTGGTACAAGTGTTCTGTTGGGCTCCTGGAGTTAAGGATTAATGCATATCCAATAGGAGGGAACTGGGTCCCCTGCCCCCCGCCCAGCAGGGAGGAAACATGTGACCAGATCATGACCCAATGCCTGGATGGGTGCTGTTCAGGACAGAAGGGATCAAGGGTGCACCCGGGGTTTCTAGTTTGTTCAGCTCAGAATGGGTGGGAGGCTGGAGAACTAGAACTGGCTAGTACAGTGAGGACAGCAGAGTGATCTTGAATCTCTGCAGGACTCTTTTAACACTCAACAGTCTCCAACAAGGCAACTCAGTGTCTGCCAGTTCTTAGTTTCCCAGGAGATGCAAAAGAGCTTACTTACATCTCATTTGCCTCCTGTGGGTCCCACTTCACTCCCAACCCACAAGGCTGATTCTGACACTGCAATTGTTCAAAGGACTTTGGAAGCCATCAAGCTCCTGAGAAATGGTAGGAGGAGTTGACGGGCAAATCCTGCTCTTCCCCATGGAAGTCTCAGGTGGGGAGAGTCCTGTCTTTGAGTCTGGCACCACTGTTCTACAGATGCAGAAATGAGGCTCAGCAGGCTGCGGGGCTGCCAGCCCATCAGTGGTAGAACCAGGTTTCCCAAGGCCCATGGAGCCCGGCCTCTGAGAGGTATTTGTGCTTTTTACAATCTCCACTGACAGGGCAGGGATGAAAAACTTTAGGTGCCTGGGAACACAAGTAGGGAAGGAGAGTGCAGACGTGGATGACAGGTCATCCAGGGGAAGGGCAATTTAGAAGATATCCAGTAAGGGAGAAGGGAACCCTGAGGTATGGCCGTGGGGCCAGGGAAGAGGCAGAAGAACCTTACCTTGACCTGGTCCAGCACTACCAGGGGCCCATTGACGCTGCACACCGTCCTGTAGGCTGGGGGAAAGGCAGGGTGGTAAGGCTCTTACCTCCAAACACCCCCTAACACATGCTTGGCCTCCACGACACAGGACACACACACACACACACACACACACACACACAGAGAGAGAGAGAGAGAGAGAGAGAAGAATCCTTGCCTTCCCTCCGTCTAAACACCCCCCACCTCCTCCCCAGCCTGGGCCATCAGGGTCATTAGCTGTGACAGGGCCAGCCACCATTGCTGTAAGGGTCATGCCCCTGCCCGCAGGGCCTCTGCTGCCTCGGACACCTGCAGGAGGCTGGGGGAGGGCAGAGGCCTCAGAGTCTTCCCTGGTCCTGGGGAGGAGACCCTTATCCTCCCTGATGGGCTTCCCCTCTGGCCTCAACCCCCACCTCACCCGCTCCCTCCTCTCTGACTCACAACATTTTCCAAAGGCTTCTGGCCCCCAGCTGTGGTTAAGAAGTGCCCTCCTCTGCCCTTCACCAGGCCACATTTCCTTCTGTTCACCCCACACTGATTGAGCACTGTGGGGGGTGGGGGGGAGAAGCTTTGTTGAGAGAAACAGAACAGAGCCCCTGCTCTCACAGGCCCTGGGGAGGCCCTGCCAGGGAGGCTGCTGGACTCCCCTGGCTCGCTGGGTGCTCAGAGGGGTAGGGGGAAGAAGAAGAGAAATGCCCCCAGACCTAGCAGCTGCACAGGACCATAGAGGGGGAATGGGCTTAGCTTAGAAGGTGGTGTTCTGTTAGACATCAGGAAATACTTCCCAACTCCAGTGCCAGGTTAGCAAAAGCTTTGGTTCTGCCAGGGGCTAGCCCAGGGACTTTGGGACAGTCCTGCCCAAGGCAAAGGGGTACCTCGGTCCTACCCTGGGATTCTTGTGTGGCACCAATGATTCAACTTGAGACGGAGGAGAACTTGGCTTGGCAAGATGGGTGGGGTGCTGGGTCCCTCACAGACTGCAGACCTCAGAGGAAAATGGAGTCCAGAAGGAAGGGCCAGAGTCGCAAAGCAGGTTTGAGGCAGAGCCAGGGCTGAACTCCCCCCAACCCCTTGTGCTTCCTGTCAGCCCTGGTTCACACAGCCCTCTTACAGACATGCTCCTGGGCAAACTAGGTGGCCCCAACCCACCTAGTGCCCGAGAGAACCCAATAGCCCATCACCTACTCCCTCCCCATTCTGGGCTTCTGAATCAAATCCCTTATTTTTGTCTGAAAGCTCCTTTCACCAGGGTGTAGACCAGGAGACCCACCCATGGGGCAAGGCAAGGCTTGTACAGATCTTTACATAGATCCTCCAATGTCTGCACTGTTTGCAAAACTCCAGTCTCAAGGAGAGTGCGAGAAGGAAAGTTCTCTGCCCGGGCTTTGGCTGGCCCAGGGCAGCACCCTTTTGCTCCCTGTCCTCAGACCTGCCTAGAGACCCACTGCATCTGGCTGCCCTCACTTCTTCCCACGAAGGAGGGCCCACCCTCCATCCTAGGCAGGTCTCTCCCCTGCACCAGGCCCTGGAGACAACAAATTCTGCGGTGCAGGGCTAGTGCCACCCTGCCACCACCACCGGCACCCGACAGTCTTTCCTTCAAACAAGCTCTGGTATCTCCCACCCTCAGCCCCAATCCTTCTCCAGCTTCTGCTCATACAAGCATGGCCTCCAGTGATCCAATGGTTCTTCCCCCTTCCCTGCCTCTCAAGTCTCTCTACTCTGGCTTCCAGGGCTGACTTCTCTCTAGGCTTCTCCTAGGCCTCTAGATCCTGCATTCAAAGTGATCCAGCACATTCCATGAGAGGCTGCATGCATGCTCCTTTTCCCCGCCCCCTTGTTCCACCTCTGGGTTGCTTCTCAGATTCTTTGGCCAACACACTCTTCCCTCCTGGAGACTTCACTGCTTGGCGCTTCCTACTCCCCTTTCCCTAGGTGATCTGCTTCCTTCTTCCCTAATCCCTCCCTCTCTCCAAGCATTTCTATGGCACCTATTGGATGTACGAGGCCAGCTGTGGAGCCTACAATCTAAAAGAAGGGACAGAGAGAATGTAACACAATTACCAACTGCAGTAGGTGCTAAGAAGGGCAAGAACAGGATGGGTATGTGAGATGGCCAGGCGGCCAGATCTAGTGGTCAGGGCTTTGCAGGATGGGCCTTTTGAGCTGAGCCCTCAGGTCAAATGGAGCTATCCACCCAGCCCCAGAAGTTAGGGAAAGGGCACATATGCCAGGGGTGAGCAGTTCAGACGTGAGAAAGAATCCCTTACTTGGTGATTTGGGGGAACACAGGCAGTGCAGTGGCCTGCAGAGGCTTGCATCTGGGCTCACTGCTGTATCCCACCTCTCAGGAAAGCACCAGGTATACGGCAGACACTTGTGAAATATTTGTTGGATGAATTATGGTTCCATTAGCTTTTCCTCACATGTCCCACATGAGAACCAACATGTGACCTTCCCTACCTTCCCAGCCCCCCTGGACCAAAGGAGGGTCCTATTGCCCATCCTGAGGGACTGTACCTTTAGCTCCAGTCTGCTTCCTGTGAAGATGGAGATGGAAGAGATTTAAAAAAAAAAAAAAAGAGGATGCATGTGCTAAGGGGGTGTGTAGGCATAAAGAGACCCCCCCCCAAAGAGGGAGGGTAGGGTTCCTAGGTGGGGGCATCTCCCTCCACATTAGGGAAAAAAAGCCACCATGCAGCCATCCACACACACTCTTGCTCGTGTGGTATTTTGATTAAATTGCCAGGGTTGTTAGGACCATAAAGAGGTAGGACGTGGAAGCAGAAGGAGGAAATGAATTGGGTCAGGCGGGGATGGGCAGGGGTGTGGGGACAGGCCAGTAAGTTTATAAGTCCAGAACAAGCCAGCGCTTTGCCGGGTTTTATAGAGTAAATACTAGACGTGCCACAGGGCTGAGGGAGGGGAAGAAAACTGCAGAACTGGGGTAAGAAGACACAGGGTGGGTGGGCCTGGAGCAAGGGAGGCATGGGGGCAGGGCAGGGTCCCCAGGGCCAGAAAGCCACAGGGAATCATTTCCAATTCCAAGGCTTCAGGAGACAGGTCTTTCAACTTCCTCCTTTCATTCACAGCTGGCTCCCCTACTTCACAGCCTCTGTCACATGAAATCCCCGTTAACCTGGAAGGGGAGGTAGGGGACAATGGTGGTAGAGGATGTGGGATTAGAGGATCCACACTCCTCCCTAAGGGGAGGGTCTCTGGAAGGAGCCTGCTAAGTGCCTGCCTGCAGGGACCCTCTGGGAGGCCAACTTCTCAACTCTATTCTGGGAGTTAGGGTGGGAGATCATGCCAGGTCACATGGGGACAGCATGAGGTCTCTGAGTCCCCCATCTTAGCACACCAGCTTCACCTACAGGTCATCTTCCCAGGCTTCAGCAGCCACAACACCTGGTTCTAGGTGGGATTCCTAGGGAGGCTGGATGGAGACACAGCTCCGTGGAGTCTTAGAAAACCCATTCACATGCCATTTCGGTTCCACACTGGGCTGTTCACACCCTTCAAGGTCTTGCCCAAAACCACCTACTGCAGCTCACGGGGTCTCTCCTTCTGAAGACCCATAGCACTGCAGACTGGCCCCTACAGGGGCTGTGTCTCTCCTGAGACAGACAGAATGGTAGCTGAGTGACAGGCCTCTTGTTTGTATACACCTCTTGTTTGTATACGCCTCTTGTTTGTATATACTCTGGTTATGTCCATTTTGAGGAAGGCAAACTGAGACCCAGAAACTCAGCTGGTTTCGCCACAGTTCAGGCAGTATCTTGTGGCCCTCGGGGATTATGGCCACTACACCACCCTGGGATGTCCCCCTTGACCCTGGAGAGGGAAGGGGGCTGCAGAGTTGCCGGCAGAGGGCCGGTTCAGATGACCTGAGGGGCACTCCTTCAATGGGCCTTCCAGACTGTGCAGACACTCCCTCCAGCTGCTCTGCCCACCCTCTCCATTGTCCTAGCTGACACTTCGGGCTGCACTTTGGACTGCAGGCTGGAGAAGCGGCTCCCTACCCCCACCTCCCTACCGCCTTCCCCGTCAAAGGCCCAGCAGGGATCCTGACCGGCACACTAATTAGCGCTGGCCCAGCCACACCTGCAGCGTCCCCGGAGAGGGCTGAGGCGGGCACCCATGCGTGAGGCCAGGGTGGGGGCAAGCCTGGGGCAGCAGGTCCTGCACCTCCTCCCTGATCCCAGCTGGAAGGATTAGGGGAGGGGGGCAGAGGCTGGAAGCTGGGGGTTCTTAGAATCAGCCCAGGAACCTGTTGGTTGGGACTCTCGATGTAACTTTCTCCCCTTTCTGCCAAGGAAACTGAGGCAGGGAGGCAAAGCCAGCGGCTTGGTGCTCAAGCCCCTGGAGGGCCTGATTAGGCTCCATCCCTCCAACCAGGCTGCTAACCTTTCAAAACTTGGCCTAGACTGGCCCCCTGTGCCAGCCTAGCCTCTTCTGCCCCAGTGCCCAGGTGAAGCTCCATGCCACCTCCTCCCCAATGAAGCCAAGGTTCTTGGGGAACAAGTCGAATGCTGTGGAGCAAAGAGACCCTTCTTTCCCAAGGTGGATACTGCTGGTTTTACTCCCCATCTAGACTCTACCTAGCTCCTCCTTTCTGGCCAATTCTTTCCTGTAGTCTCTGTACTGAAATCAGTTGTGAGGAGTCCATCTCCTCTGGGAAGGAAAGGGCTTCTCAAGCTGCACCTCCCTGGCCCTCTGAGTCCAGCCTCTTTCTAGGCTCAGTCTCAGGGCTGAGAGAGTGCTTAGAGTCCCAGGGTAGAAGATCAGGCTGGGGAGGCAAGCAGAGGGGTGAGCAACCCTGCCTCCAACCTGCCAGGGGTCTCCAGATCCTATCTGGTCCTGTGCCTGTCCACATGCCGCAGGGAGGAGCACCCCCTAGTCACCCAAGGAGAACAGACAGGAGCAGGAGACACTGCAGGTGCAGAAGCACGCTGAGGAGTGCTGGGATGCTGCTGGGTAGGAAGGTGTCTGGATGGCTGGGGAAGGTGTCTGGGGTTGATCCTGGGTGCATCCTGTGAGCATGCTCAGTTTGCAGCAAAGTGAAGTCAATGGCCAGAGCAGAGCCAGGAGGGCTCCCTGCACCGAACTTGCTCTGGTTTTTAACTGTGGGGTATAAACACATTTGCCTGGGTGGGAGCTACTGTTGCAGGAGGCCTATAAATATGGAGGCACTGACACCCCTAGGTCCCATCCTGGGTCAGAACCTCCAGGATGTTGATTGTAAATAAAGAACTGGTTAGGAGGAAACTGGCTTGAGGCTGCTCCTGGCTGGGCAATCCTGCCTGGAGGAGGAGTCAGGCAGGGTGACATTTATCTTCAGGACTCACAAGGGCAAGTTTCAGAGGGAAAGCAGGGTTTGTGGGTCCAGACCCCACACCCTGCCCAGCATGGCAGCTCTCCTGTGCCCTCAGGTGTGGGACAGGTGATCGCAGGGGTGGCAGGTCATCTCATGGGAAGGAGTTCCCAGCTCTGGACCCAGTGTGAACTGAATCACTGTGTGTTTCTTAGCTTTGGTGACCACAACTTTGGCCTAGGGAGAATCTACCCCAGGAACCTCTACAGGGCAGAGCCTGTGGGGCCTCCTTAAGAAGACTGAACTCACTGAACTGTCATTTCTCCTTTACTGGAATTTGTTCCACCCTCAGCACCTGTCTCAGGCCTCAGCAGGAGCCTCACACCTTGGGGGCTCTGCTGACTGCAACCCCCCCACCCTGCTTACTCTGTGCTCAGCTCTTGTTGCCCTTTCAAGTTCTCCCCACCTCCTCCATTAGACTGGATGGCTGTAGAGGAGGAGGAGGGAGGGAGAAGAGTTTCCGGTGTCAGATTTTCTTCCTCTCACTCACCCCACACGCCCTGTTAGGAACCTCTGGCTAGGCTTTAACAGGGGCGGGCCAGGCTGGTTTACTCCAGTGAGCTGCACATGCTGTCTGAGAACTGCCAGGCTTGGGAGGGTGACCTTGGAGAAGGAAATTGTGAGGGGGTTTCCCTTTGGTCCTCTGGACCTTTACAGGTTCTCCTCCCCAGACATCTGGACTTGTCCTATCCCTACAGAACCAGCACAGAAGTTAGCTACACAGGGCTGCCTCCGTGAAAGTTACAAAGGTACCCCCCCCCCAGCACTGGTTTACAAGCTCCTACACCTGACACTCACCCTTAGCCCTGTGTACACACATAAAAACTGCCACACTCAGATACGTGACATTGTCCTGTGCTGTCCCCTTGAACATACACATTGCATCGAAGCACATGCAGACATACCTACCCGCACCCTAACAAGCACACTTGCATACATTCGCACTCACAGGATTCTTCCCCTCCAAGAGAAAGTGGGTGCACACCCCTCCAGGCCCACATCTCTCATAGAAGGCACATACAACACGTAGCCCTTGACTCTCGGGACACAGGGACACTATCACCTTATATTGAGAACACTCACATACATTGACACACATGTCAGCCCCACTATACTTCATCATACACTTCCTCCTGCTGAGGGTTCTGGGGCACACTCCTTACATAGAAGTGTGCGCATGCGCACAGACGGGCGCGCACTCTCTCGGGGGCATTTAGAGCTCTCTCTCTCAGGGCTTAGGGTCTTAGGCAGGATCAATGATGACAACTAACCCCTCCCCCCAGTCCTCTCCTCTGGGTCAGCCTGGGCTGGGCACTCCATCCTTCCTCCACCTGCAGAGATGACTCCGTGCAGGCTGCCCTCACAGAGCGGTTCCCACTGAACCGAGGGCCTCTTGCTATCCCCTGGTATCAGTCCTCTTCTTTTTCTGAGGCAAGAAGACTTTTTCTGCTGGAGTCTCAGCAGCTCCCCACCCCAGCCTCACCCACTAGGGCTCATACTCACTGACGCGGGGGTGGGTGACGTAGTTTCGGGTGACCGCCTGGATATGTTCCCTGGCTGTGCCCAGGTCGCAGTCACTGTTGGGGAGCCCGCTGGACCTGCTGTCTACTTTCATAGCCATGGTGTGTGGTGGCCTGGGAGTCAGTGCCTGAGTAGGCTGGTGGCAGCTCTATGACTTCAGGCCCCACTGAGCTGGAGTGAACTGCCAGCCTGCACCTGCAGCCACCGCCCCTTCCTTCCCTCTCCTCCCACGCCCTCCCCGCTCCTCCCCCAGGTTGACTGTAAACAGGGAAGCCCGGGGTTCCAGCTCTGAAGCTTTCCCCACAGGCTAGGCACAGGCTGGGCAGACCTGGGAGGTGGAGGATGGTGAGGAGGGAGGGCAGCTGTGCTTGGCTGACCCTCTGCCCACAATCCACAAGGAGTGTAAATGTGGCTCCCCACTGGAACTTCTGGTGCTCTCCACAGTCCTCATGCCCCTCACCATGTCTCTTCCTGGTCTCCTTCCCACACTCAGCTTCTGGCAAGCTGCCCTCACCCTGTGCCTCTTGCCCTGCCTATACCTAGGTATTTCTTCCCTGGCACAATTCCACCATCATCTTTTTTCAACATCTACAGAAGATCCTCTTCTAGCCAGCTTCAGTCTATCTCCTATATGAAGGCTTCCCTGGCTTCTCCAGCGCCCTGGATTCACCACACATCTGGCCTCCCTTAGGAGAGGCCTCTTGGTTGCGTGGCTGGGCTGTGAGCCCCAAGAGCTGAGCCTGTGTCTTCCACCAGACCTGGGTCTCCTTTAGCCTTTCTGTCTTAGGCCATTGAGAACTGCCTGAGAAACCAGGCTGGCTGTAGGACCCAGACTCACCTTCTTGCGTTCACCTCCAGCTCCCATACCTCAGGCCTGCCTTGTCATGCTCATCCTGGGACAGAATACACATGGAGGCCTATGTGTTGCTTATCTCAACATTTGGAGTTAAAAATCAAGCATCCCCATAGCCTGGCCTGTGTTCTACCTGGAACCTCACCACTGCTTCCCAGGAGTCCTCTCTGTGCCGAGAGGCTAAAGCAGTTGTGCTACCCCAGGGCCTGTAGAGTGTCTCACGGTACCAAACAAGCAGAATAGATGCAGGGTATTGGCTAGACTGGCCAACCCAAGTTCTGCCAGGTCACCTCCATGCCTCATTCCAGACTCAGGACTTCCTGCATTTCCAAACACCTCCCTAAACTATACCACCTGAACAGAGGAAAGGCAGAAGTGCAGTTGTTGGGTATCCCTGGCTCCCAAGACCCCACTCTGGGGGACTTTGTCAGTGCAGCCAATTTGAAACCACAGTGGCAGCTACTGTGTCCCCCAAAGCAGACTGGAGCAGGCTGTGCTTGACTTTTCTGCCCACAGGGCCCAAATTTCACCCTGCATCTTCCAGGTGAGGACCCATTCAGGTCTTGGGTCCCACTCCCATTCTGTCAACGAGCTCTCCTATTGGGGTGAGGGATTGTGTGACCATAAAGGGGCAACATGAGGGTAATCTTTATGGTGATGGAGCATCCTCATGGCATGGTGTCCACGAATCTACTCAGGTGATAAAAAGACAGGGAACTGCACACATGGTACCAATGTCAGTTTCCTGATTTGATATTTAACTTGTTATGGAAGATGCAACCATTGCAGGAAATTGGGTGGTAGGAACTCTGTTGTCCTATTTTTGCAACTTTGTATAAGTCTAGTTATCACAAAATTAAAGTTAAATGAAAGTGCCTTGAGAAAAAAGAAAATAATAAAAAAATTTTAAGTGCCTCATGTTGCATGTTTGCCCTAGGCAGGCCCCTTCTAAACTCTGGGGTCCTGCCTGGATTCAGCTTTGATGCCATCTCTCCTCCTCTCCAGATCTGGTCTTACCTTGCATTGTTTGCCCAATTTTCCCCTCTCATGCATTTTTATTTTTGGTCCAGGTATTGAAACCAGGGTTGCTCTCCCACTGAGCCACAACCCCAGCCCTATTTATTTTTATTTTGAGACAGGGTCTCACTAAGTAGCTCAGGGCCTTGCTGAGTTGCTGAGGCTGGCCTCCAATGTGCAATCCTCCTGACAGGTGTGAACCACCCTCGCAACTATTTTTAATTTTCAAAGAGGAGCTTGCAAAGAATAACACTTAACCAACGAAAGCTTTGATGTTGGCACCTGGAGACTTTGGGGTTCTTGGGTGGGAGCTCAGTTGGGAGTGGGAGTCAGGGACCTATTGACTCACACAGTGGATACTGTGACCCACCTGCATCCTCAGATTCTAGAGTCTTCCCTCTAAGTCCCCCCTCACTCTGAGCCCATTTTCCATCACAGAGGACAGGGACAAAATGGAATGAGGTGTTGCTGCGGGGCCTGTTTCCCTTCTTGTCATCGTTTTCCTTTATTTCAGTGAGAGACACGCACACGCACACTGCACTCACACACACGAGCTGCGGGGACCAAGGCCATTTGGTCGAGTCTCTGAGCTGGGGCAGGTGAGGAGGGGCTGCAGCAGCCACCCCTCTCTTCTGGGCCTGCTCAGTGCAGTCCACTGGGGCTCAGGAGGCTGGGGCGGTGCTGTGCTTGGGGACTCAGTGTCACACAGGAGTGGGAGTTTAAGTGTTAGCGTTCTTGCTGCCTCCGCCTCCAGGGCTGGCTACTTTCCGTTCTAGCCGGCTGTAGGGCTCAAAGGCTGAGGAGCCAAGTTCATAGCCGGCAGGCAGGTCCAGGAGGGGGGCCATGGAAAAGCAGACGGCTGGCAGAGGGGGCGGCAGCGGGGGAGATGTCGAGGCCGAGGGCAGCGGGTTGACACGTGGGGAGGAGTTCCTGGGGTCACCCAAAGAGGTGCCCCTATGGCCAGCAGGCAGGCCAGGCAGGCCAGGGGTCAGTGCCAGGAGGCTGGGGGCCCTGGGCACCGAGAGCAGCCGGCCCTGCTCCAGCAGCCGTAGAATGTTGGAGGTGGCGAAGGCCTCGGAAGCCGAGGAGGAAGCCTGCTTCTCCAGGTCTCTGCTCTGGTCTTTCTTCTGCTTGGTGCGGCGGTTCTGGAACCAGACCTTCACCTTGGGGTGGAGGGTGGGGAGGGGGGACAGGCAAAGCAGAGTAGGGAAAGTGGGAGGAGAAAAGGAGAGGAAGTGTGTGGACCAGGGCAGGGGCACGGGGGTGAGGAAAGAGAGGGGAAAGAAGAGCAGATTGTCATTAAGGTCTTCCCGCCACCAGTCTGCTCTGGGTGAAATGAGTAGGGACCCTTGTCCCCAAATTGTAAATACCCCTTCATTGCTAAAGTTTACTCTGACCTAGAATAGAGGAATGAATTGGCTGATGGAGGATGGAATTTGGGGGTACAATTGAAGTACTGAAGTTCCCTTCTTAGCCTATGCACTTTGGGCTGGTAGTCAAGTTCATGGCTTTAGCCATCATCTATATGCTGCCTCAGGCACTGGCCTCTGAACTGAAGTCCAGGCTGGGCATCCAACTGTCTATTAGACATCATCCTATGGATGTCTCAAAGCACCCCAAACTCCACACTCACAGATGCAGTTTAGTTACTCCTCCAAATAGGGACCTGCATTCCCTCTTCCACTATGATCATCTCCATCCACCCAAGTAGACATGGGGGAAGGCAGAAGCCTCCTCCCTGTGGTGGGCACTTCCTAGAGCAGAGCCTCTTCTCTTCCTGTGTCCTCTCTGACCTGACCATTTCCATATCAGTACCTCTTGACCTTGGCCACCCATGAGAGACACCTGGGAGCCACCTATTAACTCACTGCTAGCTTCACCCAATCAGCTCAGAATGGGGGTGGCTAGAATCTAGGCTCTGGCAGTTTTTACTGCTCACCAGGTGATTCCAAGGTGGGAAGCCCAGTACTGTAAAGGGCTCTACCCCGGGCCCAACCCAAGTACCTGCAGAGGAAAGAGGCAAAATGGAAGCCTTTGTCTCATGGCCTGACCTGGCTCTGACACACACGTGTGGCCACCCCATCCTGTTCACACTCTGCAAACAGCCCATTGACACTTCTTGGACCTGGAGTTCTGAATAATGCCTTCCTTCAGAAGGACTGACTTGAGCAGGGCCCAGGCAAGCACAAGAAGCCACTTGACAGGAACTCTGGAGTCCTGGACCCCTGGGGGTGGGCTAAGATAGGTGCAGGCCCCTAATGGGCATAACTCCTGGCTTTGCAGAATCCTTATCCCATAGGGAAGCCAGAGGAAGCCAAAGTGGGACCCTCTGTGACATGGGGCAGAGGTCAATTGCCCAGTCTGAGGACAGTCCCACCACTGCCTCTGGAGGAAGTGCTTCCTAGCTCAGTCTGGCCTTTGGGGTCTTATTAGCAGGTCCTCTGTCCCCATTCCCCGTTAAGGTCAAACTTCTCAACATGACACTAGGCAGAATGTGGCAGGACATTGAGGGGTCTTTCTGATGGCCACATGCTCAAAGCTGAGGACATAAGGGAACAAAGCACCAAAATTCTAAACAGAGCCACCAACAAAGGGCAGAGACCTATTTCCGGGTCTCTGAGAGGAAGTACACCTGATCCTGCCACCACTGCCCAGCACCCCAACCCTCCTCCTAAAATGGTACAAGAAAAGGGGAACCAGGAGTGGTCAGTTTTATGGAGTGACAATGGGTTCCCTCTCATCTCTGAGAGGGAGGGAGTGTCCCCACCACCGGAGGTAAATCAGTGATAAGCCCAGAAAGAATTATTTGAGCTGGGTACGGTGGTGCACACCCGTAACCCCAGCAGCTCAGGATGCTGAAGCAGGAGGATCGCGAGTTCAAAGCCAGCCTCAGCAACAGTTTCTAAATAAAATACAAAATAGGGCTGGGGCTGTGGCTCAGTGCTTGAGTGCCCCTGAGTTCAATCCCTAGTACACCCAACCCCAAAAAAAGAAAGAAAGAAAGAATCACTTGTAGGTACTGGAAGTACCTCCAGAAAGGAGATTGGCATTTGCTCAGCTGGTGGAAAATGTGTTAGGCCATCATGTCACTAGTGCCATCACTGGAACACCCAGACTTGTGTTCCAGGAGCTGCTCACCCAGAGCCGGGGCAGCATGTGCCAGCAGGAGGAGTAGGAGCCGTAGAGTGGAGGTCCCTGAAGGGAAGCGGTGGGGAGGCCTCACTGGTTCCCTCTAACTTTTGGAGGATCTAAGAAGTCTAGCCACTGCGGTGCCTCTGAGCGAAGGAGCCAAGACAGGCACGGAAGTCCTAGTCCGTGCCCCCTGAGAAGCTGAGGGTCCAGAGGGGAGGGGAGCCAACCCACTCCTAGTGATCAGAGGGCATTTAGGTACAAGGAAGTGGCAGTAACAAGGGGCGTGACAATACAGAATGACAAAGCCTGTACAGGTGCTCTCCCACACACCCATCTTCCCACAGCAAGGAGAGGTGGGTGTGGGCTGCTTCTGCATTTGGGAGTCTCCTGGGCAGGTGGCCCTGGAAGTGGGGAGGAGAAGTCAGAGGGCAGGCGAGCAGGGGCTGGGACCAGGCATGTCATTTGTTGGCGTGGGTGGGCTAGGTCAAGGACTCTCAACCCCGTCGCACATTTAGAATTACCTGGGCACGTTCTTCTAAATTCTGTTGCCGGGCCCTGTCTAGTATTCATTCCAACAGAATTGCCGGTGGAGCAAGGCATTGATATTCTTTGGAAAGCTCTGTGGGTGGCTCCAACATGCTGTGGGTGTCGCCAGCTTTGAGGGTGGGAGTGGGAAGACCTGCTTCTCTACTTCTCACTGTCAATCCTTTGGGACTAGTTTAAAAGGCTCAGCAAACACAGAATAAACGGAGGAGGGACAGGCTTAGAGCCCTCTGAACTCGTCCCCTGCCCTCCACCTGTTGTTATGGTTAAATCCAAAGTTACTGATCTTTTAAGTCTCAATTCAGTCTCATTCTTCCAAGAAGTCATTTCTGAATTCCCCCAGGGTGGCAGAGTCATGGTCTTATCCTGAGTACAGTACACTCCCTGGGACATCACCTGCCCTAGCCTTCTCAGTGACCTCTCGGCAGCCTGCCATCTTGGTTACAGTGAATGGTTGGTGGCTTCACATCCCAATCTCTTACTGGGCCATACTGTGACCAGGGTAGGGGGATGGTTTCCAGGAATGGGGAGGCGTTTTCTGAGAGATTATTTATCATGTTCTTCTGACTTATTGTCAGGGTTAAATTCCAAGATTTATTGTTCCTTTGGAAATTATATAATCTCATAAAGACTGCTTCCTGGGACTATGGGCACACATTGAATCTGAGATCAATGGTGACTGGGGGTTTAGGATGGCCCTGGGTTTTGTAACCTGCACTGGGAAGGTACCATCTATTCTGCTGTTCCAGAAGAAGCCATCTGGGGCAGGGATGATACATGTAGGGCTGAGGACAATTGTAAAAGGGATGGAACAGCCTTGATCCAAGTTAATCTTGTCAGTATTGAGACTTGGCAGTTTGTCCTCAGTCTAGCCTCTGGGCCCCTGTTCCTGCTCAAATCCTCCAGGCCAGCCGAGGGTGGGAATCCTGAGCAGGCCTCTCACCTTTCCTTCCTCCTCAGCCACATCTTTTCTTACTTCCTGCTCTGACCCTGGTATTCTGGTCATTCATTCACACAACACAGAAATAGCAAGCATGTGATACATGCCAGGCACTGCCAGGTGCTGAAAAAACAAAGTAAATGAAACTCTATTTCAACCCACTTGGATCTCAGGCATTAGTCATGGGAAACATGGCAGGTTGGCAAGGGTTATAATACAGTGTTTTGATAGAAGGAGCAAACAATAAGGAGTTGGGGTGTAGTTCAGTGGTAGAGACCTGCCCAGCATGCATGAGGGCCTGGGTTCAGTCCTCAGCACTGCAGGGGAAAAAAAAAAAGTAAGCAGTATAGTAGAGAAGAACCTGTAGTCAGACAGACAGCTGTGGTTCTTCCTCTAACTTGCTTGATGACATCGGGCAGGTTGCTTAAGTTCTTACTGCCTCTGTTTCCCCATCAGTGAAATGGGGATCATATTAATGCCTCCTCATGCTTTTCTTTTTGTGATGACTCCATGGGTTAATAATAATTGACACAGCAAAACTGAAGTTTCTCTCTCTCTCTCTCTTTTTTTTTTTTTTTTGAGACAGAATCCTCACTATGTTGCCTAGGCTGGCCTTGAACTAAAGATCCTTCCACTTCAGCCTCCTGAGTGTATGCCACCATGCCTGGCTTGAAATTGAAGTACTATTAATAGTAGTAGTAATAGTAGTAGTAGTAGTAGTAGTAGTAGTAGTAGGCAAGTGTTCTACTGCTGAGTTACATCCTCAAGCCTTCTGATTTTATTTTGAGGCAAAGTCTAAGATGCTGAGGTTGGCCTTAAACCTGTGATCCTTCTGCCTCGGCCTCCCAAGTCACTGGGATTACAAGTGTGCACCACAGCACCCAGCTCCCACTTTTTTTGAACATAGCATGGTAACCAAGTGTATCAAGAAGTTTCTAAAAGCAAGAATGACAAAATGAGACTGTCCCTGTTCTCTGACTTTGTCATTGTTTTCAGCACATGCTGCCATGGGGGGATGAGGCTGACTGGTGTCAAGAGAGAAACCCCTGTGAGACCCCTCTCCCTGCACAGACACAGGGTTGGGCAAGTCCAGGGCAGTGTCTTGTTCACTGTGCCTACATTGTGTGGACTTCATCCTGCAGAGCCCTGGTGGTGTTGGGAGCAGAGGAAAGGTCTCATTGTTCTGCACACCTGGTCTTGCAGGTGGACTTCTGATTTTTACATATGCATGCAATTCAACATAATTGGGCACACAGAGATTAAGGTAGAATCTAGAAATGCGAATGGGCCCAAGGCAAGCTCACTTTTTCTCTGCCTGATTGAAGAAGGACCATGGCTGGGTCCTTCTGGTATATAGGGAAGGGAGTAGAGATGCTGGCTGGCAGCAGGTAGAGAAGAGGACAGACAGAAAGAGATACCAGCCCTTAAAGAGCAATGGACAGCACCTTCCGTGTAGCACCAGAGAAGCCCTTGGGTCCAAAAGAACCCTCAGATCTAGACTCTCCCAGACCTGTCTGCACCATGGTTCCTCTTCTTAGATTTCCACAA